GGAAGGGGGTTGGGTGAGGGGTAGGTCAATGGGTCATGACGTCAATGTCAGACAGACTTGTGGGACCAGATGTTTCGTAGGCCAGTTCAAGTTCAGAGGTCGCACAAGTTTCTTTTGGATGCAAAATTGTGAATCCAGCGGTCGGATTCCTATCGCCTCTGCGATCGATAGTAGTCTGGATCGTACCAGTCGTGATCCGTTCAGAGGTACCCGGTACATGATGGTGAAGGCTTGCTCCTTGTCTATGACATGACAGGTTTCGGCCAAGTGTGCTGCAATCGCGCTTGAGCCTGGTTTCTTTCCACTACCACTCAGAGATACGGGATTGTGTTCTCGTATTCTGTCCGACAAATGCCTTGTCGTACGACCAACGTATGATGCTCGGCACGAGCATACGAATGAGTACACACAAAAGCTGGTGGTAGAACGTGGCAATTTGTCTTTCAAGCAGAATCTGATAGTGGGGCTGGAGTTGAAGCTCAAACATAGATTAGCGGCCAAGTATGTCGTATCAACGGAGTTTCTAAGCCTTCTGGTGATTAGTTCAGCAACCGAGTCACCTTTGAATGGAAGCCTCATGTATACGGGCTTCTTTCTAACATAAAATTCCGTAGGTTTGGGTTTAACGGCTTCCATAGTCTTCAGTACGAACCTTTCAGGATATCCGTTCTGCGGGAATGTGCGTCCCAAGAACTTTAGTTCCTCTTCTAAGCATTCGGGTGAGCATATCTTCATTGCTCTCTCGGTCAGGCATCTAATTAGGTTGCGTTTTTTTTGCAACGGAACGAAGCTATCAAAGTGAGTATACTGACCTTTCCACGTTTGCTTTCTGTGGACCTTACGTCCTATGGTCCCGTCGGTCTTCTTTTTAACAGTGACATCAAGGAAGCTTAACTGTCCGTTTTGTTCTGATTCAGTAGTAACCTTGATGTTAGCATGGACTGAATTGAAACTGCTTAGTACGTCTGTTGTGCTGATGGTTTCATCGGCAAGAACGAAAATGTCGTCCACATAGCGGCGATATACTGTTAACCGTCCAATGAGTGCATCTAATTTTTGAGTCTCTAGCTTGGTCATGAAAAAAATCTGCCAATATGGGACCTAGAGGAGACCCCATCGCGACCCCGTACTTCTGTCGATAAACTTGAAAGTAAACTGAACATTGTAGGTACAAAGGAGCAGGAGTTCCTTAAGATCCGAAGTAGAAATTCTAATATCCCTACCGTTGCACTCAATCAAGTCACAAACATAGTCTATTGTTTCGATGAGTGGTATGCTGGTAAACATTGACTCGACTTCCAGGGAGAACATAGAGTGTTTATCAACCTTCAAATCTCTAATCTGTTCGACGAAATCAAAACTGTCTCTTAAGCTGTGTGTCGACACTTCTCTCCTGATTGGTTCTAACAGACTGACCAGCCATTTGGCCAAAGCACGGTAAGGAGAATTAGACATATCGAGGATGGGACTGAGAGGTAGGCCGGGTTTGTGCACTTTCGTGAGACCATAGAGCCGAGGGATTGTTGTGCCACGTGTAGCAGCCCTACTGCGAAGAAAACACGTTCCAGTCGTCCGGACTTTCACCAAGGAACTCTCACAGACGATAAGTTCCTCTTTTGACTTGCTCCCATTTTGCATTGTATTTATTTTTATACGTGTGGCGTTTCACCGTTGTCAACTATACTAAAAACCTTTGCTAGTGCATATACCTTGTGATTTGTGTTATGGCCATCATCAGCATTGCACTAATAAGGTCATAAATATACACTTTTTATCTTTTAAAATTTTGGCGTGTCCTAACTGTTTTTGAAATCTAGTAGAAATAGACACGCCCAAGCGACCTCATTCCGGGTTGCTCTGTACACAACTTCATACGTAGCACTTGTGTGACGGGGACACAGTCGTTCATAATTGAATTAGAATTATGCCTTTTATAAGCGTTCTCATGTTAGGACCTGAATGTAGCCCACCAGTTTTGTGGCTTGGAGATTAGGCGGTCGACACCCGTTCAATCGTGACTGCTTCGCCCAGATGAGTTAGTGAGTTCCGCATCAATATCTCAATCATCTCCATCCGAGATTGTTCAGCTGTATGCAGACTGTTTTAAACAAGTAAGTGCATCTGCCCAATGCATCAGTTACGTCTGGCCTTGACTCTGAACGCCGCCATAATGTAAATTACATACATGACTCCAAGCTGATTGAGATTATCAAGCTCCCTTTGTTGCCTCATCCTCGTATACTGGTGTATGGGTTGATCTAAGTCCATGCACCCTATGGTACACACAAAATCAGCGAGAATAAAATAATGAGCATGGTTTTCTAGAAACATGAAGGAGAAAATACAGATGGGGACAGCACAAACTAAACAAAACACAAGATTTTGTCAAGGTAATGGCTTAGTAAAACACTAAGAGTATCGATCATCTGGGTGAACATTCCGTTCGGCGACGCAGAAACTTTGTGCGAGGCGCATTCGCCTACGACGCTCTGAAAAACCCTGCGCTTTGGTGGGCTTCGATAACGACACATTCAATACCAAGTGGGCACAGTTTTATCAGGAATCATGAATCCCAATTACGCTTGGTATTCGTATAATTCTTTGTCTTTTTTTGCCGGTAAGATTAGGTGACTGAACCACAGCAACCACACCCAAAATCGAAATAGCAAGCTGGTATGTCTTAGGCCAGCTTTTACCTACTGATACAGGTGTCAGTAGTTAGATTTTAAGGCTTCAACAGTCGGCTTCTCCCCATAAGGGGATAGCGTCACTTGGAGAAAATGAGCCTCCGCCTTTCGATGCTACTCCATTCTTCGCGGCATGTAACTGTCATTCTCTATATTTAAATGAGATAGTAAGATTCCTCATAGGAACTCCACTTAGCCTTTCACCTGGTTACCTAGAAAGGATCTCAGATGCATAGGAAGAGGTAGGTCTGTTTTTATGATAAATACATATCGCGTGTTTTTGTTCCCGTTTGGAGAATCACAAACAATAATTCATCGACCAATGTGTATTTTACATGCTGTTGTTAATGAGCTACCTGCAAGCCAATGGTCATTGATTTGGGTTTGTTTGTGTCACGCGTGCCCAATGTGATAAGCTTTGTGTGAAACACTGGGCTGCATTGAAACGCTTGACAGGAATAGCAAGACGGTGAAAGCAGTACAGAGTCAGTATTCCATTGCAGCTGGACCGAGGAGGATTGAGCAGCAGTTGATTACCACACCATTTGGCCATGAACGGCTAATCGGCAGTGTGAGTAACCTGAGCTAGGTATATTGTAGCTCCATCAGTCTTTAGATTTGCAATTGATATCACACAAGCCTTTGCTGACTACATTTCTGGACAAACTTACGGGAATTTTGTAGCCTAGATTTCTTTCAAATGTGCAAAAGTAATGCCGTGAGATTCCCTGGAGCAACGAATTCTCGTGTTCAGGACAAGACGCTCTCATCATAACTAATGGGAATACACAGGACTCGGAGTTTAATAAGTTCCTAAAAGATATAGTTCAAAATTACTGGGGTTTTGGTTTGCCGAAGGGTCATGTTCTTCACATTCCTGAATAACGAAGTTTTCTTACAAGTAGTTTTTGGGTAAGTGAACAAAACAACCTGCTCAGGACGAGAGTTAGAGGCGATCGGCATGGTCTGGTGGCCAGGTTAGAGGCGATCGGCATGGTCATGGTGGCCAGACGGTCTTATGTCGTGGAAACTGTGGTCAATCGGAGAATTTGGTGCATATTTTGCAATCCTGCTGGATCAAGCATGATGCCATATGTGCTTGTCATAATCGGGCTGTAAAGGAACTCATAAAACGTCTCCGTCGACTGAGATACACCGCCTTCGAGGAGTTGAGAGCACCCACTTCGATGTCTTTCATCAAACCTGACCTAATCGCCGTTCGAGATCGCCGAGCAACTGTAATAGACGTCAGCATAGTCTCGGACGGTCACTCCACGGAGTGGAATGAGAAGAAGCAGAAGTATGATGCTGATTAATATTTCCTCGCCAGCCCTACATGCAATCTGTTGTGATGTCGACTTTTCGGTCCACCAATCGATGATCATCTCTTATCGAGGGATCTGCTTTCCTCAATGCGCCAAGGCTGTTATTGGACTGGGACTTCCTAAGGTCACAGTCAGTGACTTGTGTTTGCCTGCTATTGTAGACTCTCTGCGTATTCACGTCACTTTCATGCGTGGCACATGACGATGAAGGTACATTTTTACCATTTAATCCCACACCAGACCCAGTATGACGGACACTTTATGCCTGATGTGCGAGTCTTGATTGTGCTAGCGCTTACCGCGCCTTGAAGAGCATTCAACATTGCTTTCCTTTCTTCGGGTTTTGGTCTTTAGACGCGTGTTCCCATACCAAAAAATTTTTACATACGTTGGGATTCATCTCGTTTGACTGGAACTGTTGGTGGGACAAATTCGAATGAGACGTTTCTCTCTTTTCTCTCATATTCTCCTGTAACCCTTTCGCATTCGTCGCTTGCATTCACTTTTTATATTTGTGACCATGCTCTTCAGAAATAAATGATAGTTGTAAAAATAATTTTCGAGGATGTTTATCTATGCTGTGGTTGCCATACGAGTTTGTGGCTACTATGAGGATAAGCCTAAGCCC